ATGTGTATAAACCAGTGATTGTATTCCATATAAATTTTGTGCTGTTTTTAATGTGCTCAATCAATAAATGCCACTCAAGGACTATATTAATGGCGAATTGTTACTTATTGACTATTAAGCCGAGGAATGTATTTTTTAATAAAATGGTTTTCTATTAATTTCCTTTTCGTGGTGTCATCGACTTTCATTTTATAAAAAGTGAAAATTTGGAATTTTACTTGTACATGTAGGTTTTGTGCACATCTATTTTCAATATTACAATCCCATCGATGGTTGCATACTCTATCCCGTAGATGCATGCCTGTCTCCCCTATGTATTAGACACCCATTACAAGTCAAGACATATATGAGATTTTTTGTGTCATAATTCATATTGTCGTTGACACTAAACGTCAACTTATGAAAATTATATTTGTTATTTGGTGTAATATGGTAGCAACATTTACATTGAAGATCCGGGAATTTAGATACATAAAAACTGGTCCTTGGGATAGATGAATTGAAATTTGCTTTGGTTAGTAGGCGTTTCAGATTAGGTGGCTGTCTTTGTGATTTAATGAATTAAACATTATCAAATTTCGTTCTGAGGTTGTCGTTTGATGTCATGAGTGCTCTCGTACATTGTTTTAAAGAAGTTGGGATGTTGGGGGTTATGAGTAGCGACAAAGGTAATGATATTATCCGAACTGTCTTTTGCTTTTGTAGTCCTCAATGTTTGGATATCAATTGCTAAAGCCTTATTTATCCCAACTTCTATTAGCTCACCTAATCTGACAACCTGGAGGTCTTCATCTATCACAGTGGTGCATATTTTTCTAGCTAAAGAAAAGGGTATATAATTTTTGGTATGGCGTAGGTGACAAGATTTATAGGAAAGATAGTTTTTGGTATCTGTTTCTTTAGAATACATATCCGTTATAAGGAGTTCTCCCCTTCGTTTCACTAGAACAGCCAAGAATGCGATTTGCAGATCGTTCGTTTCAATTGTGAATTTGTTGCAAATCTGCAATGTTGCCAATTCGTTCCTTCCAAATACAGAATATATCGTCTTGGAATTGTTTCAACTGATTTTCTAAATATAATCTGTAATCCACGCCATGTTCAATTTCTACAATTGAGTATAGTTTTTTCTCACGAAATTCCATTCCATTGTTAAATTACTTAATTGTGGTGCCACCTTGGTACCCATCGCTATACAAAGAATCTGTTTGTAATTTGTTTCACTTTGAGGATGAAGTTGTTTGAAATTCTCTCATGACTGCATTCAGGATGTTTATCCAACCAATATTTTATGGCCTGAAAGCATAGGTCATGGGAAATGTTGCCATACATATTACAAACATCGATATTTACGAAAATGTCGCCATCATTCGGGTTTTGGGGCAATCTATTAACAAAATCTATGTCATCCCGAATAACAGATTTTACATTTGACACGTACGGCTTAAGTAAGATTTCAATAAGATTTGATGGTCTATTAGTAGGACAGCACGGACCGGCAATTATTGGTCTGAATGGGAGAACGTCTGGCTGGAAAACACTGATGAATTTGGCATTTTGGTGTTTAATAGACTCCTCGATCATCTTGGATTTATGGATTTTTGGAAGACCATAAAACTGACTTGTTTTATACTCAAATTTTCGGAGATAATCCTGTTCGTTGTCCGTCAGTTCGTTTTTGTGATCTTGGATTAAGGCGTTTATTAATCCCATTGTTCTTTTATCATGGTTTGAATAAAATAAAACCAATAAAATAAAACCAAGTACGAACAATCCAAACCATAAGACAGAATTCGAAGTCCTAAAAAACGTTATAGGCAAAATAGTGTATTCAAGCAAAATAGTGTAATCAGCAAATGGTTGTATTCACCCGTTTGTCTTCAAGTATGTGAAGGACGTTTCTCTCATAATATTCCACATCCATGATAACAATTGCACCTCCTTTGTCGCTTTCTTTAATAACGATCGCATCGTTAGATTTTAAAGAATTTATAGCACACTGTTCCTCCTTTGACACATTTGATTTTGCGTTGCGGTTTATAGGGAGCGGCAACTTGGTTAAATAGTCGATGAAATTGTCCAGCGTCATGTCCTTGCCCCGTCTGTGGTTGAAGTGACTTTTGTTCCTCACAATATCCTCTGGCGCAGTGTCTTCCCTGTCACTTAAAAATTCCTTTAGTCGTAGTTTCCTACAGTAGGCGTTGATATCAGACTCTAATTCCTATATATTAGCTTTAGACGTAGTTGTGAATTTTAGTCCTTTCTGTAGGAGATTTAGTTTGTAATGAATTAGAACTATGGATGATATATTTATGATTTTTGGGTGTACTGGTTCTGAGAATTGGATATTGTGTGGACGCTCCTTGAGTGATGCTGAACTTTCTTCCTGTATTGGGGAGGTGGTTGCTGGGACTGGGATGGTGGTCGGTGTGGTTGGGATTGGCCTCTTTGAAAAAACTGCCTCCGGGCTAGAGAGCTGTGATCGTTCCTTCGTTGGGCGTTTTACTGCTGGTTGTTATTGGGAACGCTTGTCGCTTTTCTCCCAGTTTGGCTGTGCACATTCTGGCTTTTATCACCATTGCTTCTTTGTGCCCCTGCGTGCTTTGGGATGGTGTTGCGTCCGACGAATTGGGTTCCTCGGTATCTTGACAATTGTTGTTCCTCTCTGTATGAATGTGCTCCATTTCTGCAGCACGCGTGGGCAAGCTGGTAAGGAATTCTTTGTTCTTTTTCCATATCGCGTGTGACTTATTTTCCTGTGTAGAAATTTCTGAGGTCCACATGTTTTTCAGAAGATCCACTAGTTCTTTTTCATGGAGTCCTTCGAGGAATGTCAATAGTTCATTCTCTGCTTTGATGATGAATTCAAACAGGGAATCTATCTCATTTTGCATTGAGAATGTCAACTTTGTTTCTCCGTTTAGTTTGGTTCTCCGACTCGTTTAGTCTTGGTTTTTCCTTCAGTTTGCAAGGGATGAAGGGAATATCCAATTCTAAACACTCTTGGTATATTTCAGCCTTTTCCTTATTTTGTAGCATTTTGTAGAATGCTGTTTTTCTAACATTCTTGCATTTGTTCCACTCTGTTATTATTGTTCCTTTGAAGAGTTGAGCAACGTTTTCTAACATTTTCTCGCGTTCTTCATTTTGGTGGAATGAAAGTAGATAGTGTACTTACAGATTCCTTTATTTGGCTAGTCTGCTTGCACGAATTCTCGTCCATCTTTTTGATCAGAATCTCCTGATTACTGGTGATGATCTCCAGCTGTCCTGACAGTTTTTCCAGTAGGATAACCACAGGATCATAGTTGGAGGGTGTTGATCCTAGTCTTGTTGAATACAGCATCTTCGTGAACAGTAAACATACATCCAGAAATATTAGCACAACCGTAAAGCTGCACTATTTTTACATATTTACATAGTAACACTGTGGTTTGAATTGGCTATAGTTACCCATTGTCTATGGTTACATAGTATATAGGTAACTAATAGAAAACATGCACACACGTGTGTTAATCTGTAGTATATGGGTTCAATTTAGGAACAATCAGTGGAAGATAATCATGGGATAGATTTAAGAAAATTAATGAAGTTAATGGCCAATTGTTACTTATTGCCTAATAAGTTGAGGAACATATTTTTTAATAAAATGGTTTTCCATTAATTTCCTTTTCGTGGTGTCATCGACTTTCATTTTATAAAAAGGGAAAATTTGGAATTTTACTTGTAGGCAGTGATGGGATTTTGCCCGTATATTCCGGACTTGTCCGAATCTTTTTTCCAAACGCCCAAAATTGTCCGACCGGGAATATGCCCAATCGGACATCAAGACATGGTGAATAATATTCAAAATTCCGAAATTAATTTAGTTTACTGAGTGTATAACTACCGCTCAACCCGATTATCGTCGATAATACGCTGGGTTTATTAGGTAATTAAGTGATCAACGTATTTATCGTGTTATACCGTCTATAGTATAAACCTACCTTGTGTTGCCTATGATGCCTGTCACTCTGTCGTGACTATGAAAGAGTGTTATTCGCTGAAGTTAGCTATGCCTGTTTACAAGTGATTTAACTATTTCGGAAGTTCTGCATTCATTTGCTGCCGTATAAACGAAGACACGTAATTCTAAAGGAATATTATGGTTGTGAATTTGATGCCGAAGCAGGATCGGCAAGCTTTCATTCAACATATCACGAAAATGCTTAATTTTGTAGGACATTTACTGACATAAATTTGAATGCCGTACGGGAATTAAGTGTGAAAAATAGCGATGTCACCAATTTTTATTACGTACGGGATTTGAATATTTTGTTGACATGTGGTTTTTAATTGTGGTATGAATTGAATACTGTACGGGAATTAAATATGAAAAATAGCGAGGTTCACCTATTTTTATTACGTACGGGATTTGAATATTTTGACATGTGACTTTTAATTATGGTACGAATTCGTCTGCTTAAATAACGATAAGAGTTATGCCCCTTTATTTTCGTTAAAATGTCCGACAAGTAAAATTTTGAAATCCCATCACTGCTTGTAGGTGTTGTGCACATCTAAAGATATGTCTATTTACATTACAAATAAGGGCCCATTTTCAATATTACAATCCCGTCGTTGGTTGCATACTCTATCCCTTAGAATTAGATGCGTGCCTGTCTCACCTATGTAGAAAGAGGGAGAGAAATGGGGTTTAACATCCACTTGACACAAACTAGGTCATTTTGGGATTAACATATGGTTTAATTTTATTTCAATAATTCACTAGCGCGTAGGGGTCTTTAGCAGTGGGAGGAAACTGGTGCACCCAGAGAAAACCCACGAGGTTGTACAGGCGACCCTACTCCTTGTCATGTACAAACGGGGAATCGAAACCACGCCACTTGACTCAATGACAGACTTCGAGATAGAACATGCACCTGTTAACCATTTGACCCAAATGACCCAACCCCCCAGCAATTGGTAAAATCTTAAAGAAAATGGAAACAATACCATACCTTACAAATTGAAGACCTTCCACAAGAACTGACTTAAAGCTTTCAAGAAATACTGGTGCTTGTTTTCTCTTACAATTTTGTACAACATCATTACACAAATAAAATAACAGTAGTCGTTGAGAAGTAGAAACTGGAAAAAAATTTTTTTTAAATTTTGTCACTTGGCAAGCTAGATATACATGAAGACAACTCATCCCACTCATCCCAACAGATATAAGTGCTAGTTATTTGTTTTAATACAAATGCATTCTTTAAAGACCACTCAGACCAATCTGATTTTGTTATGAAAATGTGTTATCTTAATAAAATTGATATTGTTGTTTTAATAAGTTGATGGTTGTGCTTTACTGTTTGTATTAATTACCGTTTTAGTACTTTGTTGTTTTAACAGATTGGTAGTTGTGTTTCTTTTATTATTTCATCATGAAGCGCTTTGAAGAAAATCAAACAAGCCAACAGTGAGGCTGATGTCCCCCGCCGAAATCCTCAAATAAATAGATGACACATACTAAGGCTGACCTTAAAAATATCTTTGTTTCGCCTAACGCGACCGACTAACTAAAACCACCCCCGACTTAAATTATTTTATTGCACTTTTCCGCGATCTTTTTATTTTATTTTGTGTGTCAACCTGAAATATATCACGAGAGTTATTTCCCTTTACTATGGCTATGGTTTGATTCATTATTGAAACTGGTTGATCAAGACGAAAGCGTCATAGGTGTCGCTTATCAACAAAATGGTTGCAGACGAAAGCACGTCCATTCCCACGAAATGATTCTGCCTCTATGTCTGTGGGGCGTCGTTTTAAACATGACGACGATATTTTCAATATCCGTTTTCGAGAAAAATAAAGGCACAACCCGCACGATCGTTAAAAACGTGTTGAGGGAGTTTCAAACGTGAGTTTGTCGCAATTTGTGTGCGAGTCGTGCATCAAGAAAAATCCCGATGTCATTGATTTGTTTGCCAATAAAAGAAGACGAATGTTTGCACCCGGAAAATTATCAAGCTGTCAAATTAGCTCTTAAAAAAAAGAAATCTGAAAAAAAACCCGACCTACCGACCCTTCACCTCGATTGTGGGTCGGGTTTGGTGAAACAAAGATATTTTTAATGTCAGCCTAATAAATCGCACAGCTATTTTTTTCAAAAGTATCAAGCAATCAAACTGATTATCAACTATACACTAAGTTTCATCACTCTATATCAGATAGAATCAAAGTTATCTTGTCCCAAAGCATCGACCAAGGAAATTGCTTACATGTATTTGGGTCATTCCATGAAGTTGACACTTTGTTACCTACGATTATCAGTGTGATGATAAAATACTCAAGAAATAGAATTCAATAAATGAATTGTTGATAATTATTTTGGGGGTCTGATGTAAAGATAATATTAAAATGTCATTTTGTGAAATAAAAAAAATTCACTTGAAAAAAAGATGTCAAATGCATTTTCTGCAGTTTGACATGCACTAAAAGTGTGACATTTTCATACTCCTGAACTTTGATTTGATCCCCACTTTATCTTATGTGTTTAAATCAACTATCCGAGGTGCAGTTGCAAAGATTTAATGTTCAATTTTTCAAATACTGCACAACAGGAGCATCGATTCGGCTATTTAAGATACCGTCACCCAAAAATAAAGAAAAAATCGCAACTGTGTCGGTCAACTTTGTTACGTCCGTTAATGACACGATTAGACGGAGTGCTATCGTGTGACCTACTTAAATAATGTCGTAAAATGTCACCACTCTTATTTCATCTTAGAAAAGGCAAAATGTTTATCGGCTATACTTTTGAAATGTTTTAAACTGTAGTCATTACGAAAAGTGTTGCGTGTCGGTCAATATTACGTTTGTGCGATTTCCTTCTCTTTTTACGCCGTCGAGAGCGATCGAGAATTTAACGACATTATACAACTTATTTACAGCATAGATGACTTGTTAATGGCATCATGGCGGGAAAAGAAGTGGAAAATATGGAATTCGGTAAGGAAAATGGGATTTGTCGATTAGTTACGTACATTTGAATCGCAACAGGAGCAACGATTCGGCTATTTAAGATATCGTCACCCAAAAATAAAGAAAAAATCACAACTGTGTCGGTCAACTTTGTTACGTCCGCTAATGACACGATTAGACGGAGTGCTATCGTGTGACCTACTTAAATAATGTCGTAAAATGTCACCACTCTTATTTCATCTTAGAAAAGGCAAAATGTTTATCGGCTATACTTTTGAATTGTTTTAAACTGTAGTCATTACGAAAAGTGTTGCGTGTCGGTCAATATTACGTTTGTGCGATTTCCTTCTCTTTTTACGCCGTCGAGAGCGATCGAGAATTTAACGACATTATACAACTTATTTACAGCATAGATGACTTGTTAATGGCATCATGGCGGGAAAAGAAGTGGAAAATATGGAATTCATTAAGGAAAATGGGATTTGTCAATTAGTTACGTACATTTGAATCGCATGTATCAAGTTACGAACAACATATGAAAACTTAAATCAATATGAATGTTCTTTTTCTTTATTTACATAATTAATTATAGAATACTTTTATTCAAACTTTTTGTCCGCAAAACAAATTGTTGCCCTGCCGATCTCCGGAACAAACTGGGGTTGGATTGGTTGGTAACTTGACACGGTTAAGCTTTTAGTTGAATGTCAAAATTACTGACAACCCCTGTCTGGTACACTTATTTAATTATTTGTTAGATCTTTACAAAAAAACTTATCTTTTGAAATACGGTAGATCATGGTTCTATGCATGCTGTCATCCTTATGTACCTATACTACCAGGCTGTTGATGAAAATAAGTGTTGATAACAAAGACCAAACAACTGCTCTTAAGAAATTTTTGTTACCAACACAGTTATGTTTCTTGTTGTTTAGAATTTTATGCAATAATGGATGTACTTATTTAATCTGCATGTACTGAACACGTTGTATATTGAATTCCAAAATAGTGTAGAATTAACCTTGTGTTTAAATTTCTTTCTAGGTTGTTGATTGGCCATTTGTATGTCAAGTACTTCAAACCAACAGGGAATTTATGGTTGGAAAATGAACTGTTATTTGAATCTGTAATAGGAATAGCAGTCGAAAATTGGTTTGATTCTGTTCACAACATGAAAATGCTGCACCCTATGTAAACAATACAACAAGCCTTCTGTCATCTATGTTTCGCAAAATCTGATGACCAAAAGAGCCTTTCGGCATCCATGTTTCGCAACACCTGATGACTTGGTCTGATTTTAATCTGACTGGATCTATGCAGGGAAATTATCTCATGCTGATGTTTTGATTTCTTAAGTATTAAGTCAGTCAATGTTGAGTACCAGCATTGGTTACGAAGAAGAAGATATTTTCTGATTAATGCATATCCCATGTCGTTACTTGAATTAAATCAGTATTGATGCTTTATCCATCCAATTTAATTGAATCTGTATTGATGCTTTATCCGTCCAATTCTATTTAATTAAATCAGTATTGATGCTCTATCAGTCCAAATTAATTAAATCAGTATTGATGCTTTATCCGTCCAATTATTTTACCATTATTGTTATGTCATTTATATTAAACCCCATTTTATTTTGTCTTTGTTTTTAAACTGATCACTGTGTTACATGTTGAATAATAAATGAAATATTAAAAAAAAAATCATATTTCCAAAGTCGTAACTTATTTAATGATGGTTGTTCGAGAGAGGTGGACATTAGTGGTCACTCGACTCTAGGTTATTTCAATAATTGGCTTGTGCATAGGGCTTTAGCAGTGGGGGTAAATGATAGTCCTTGGCAAAACTCACAAGGTTAGACAGGTGACCATTGTGCTTGTCACATACATGACTAACATCCACATTATCATTTGTATTTGAAGGTGATAGCTCCTTGGGATGGTTAAAGCAATTTTTTTATCCCTGATTACTTAACAATATATCACAATTCCATGGGAATTTGATGTGGTCAATGTTACCAACTCTTTTTACCCAGGATATGTAATATATTTTTTTTTTATTAGACGGTACAATCAACAGGTCAAAAACTGTACAAGGCAAATAGATGTACAATATTAGGAATTAATTTCCAAAGGAATTAGATGTGGTCAATGTTACCAACTCTTTTTACCCAGGATATCTAATTCTTTGTTTTATTAGATGGTACAATCAACAGGTCAAAAACTGTACAAGGCAAATAGATGTACAATGTTAGGAATTGATTTCTCATTTTTTTTATGAGTATTGTTTTATAGAACTTTAACGTTTGTTTTTGGTCATTGTTACCCGCAAACCCATTTTGAGAGATGTTGTAAAATAAATTACATCTTTTTACATTTTGGTACCACCAAATGATAGATACTTTAGTCTTGAGTACTCAGTTGCCTTTGACTATGATTTACATGTATTTATCTTAACAAGAAGAAAAAGAGGACAATATTTTGTCAATGTTACACGCATTCATAAGGCCGCGGTTAATTAATTGTTTGTTTCTCATGACCCGCCTGCATGTCCATTTTCATCCGTAATAATTACGCACTTCCATAATTATTTGGTCAAATTTAGGGAGGTCACAAATTCGTCCTGTAAAATTTGTAAAACTATATTTGTTTGCCTTCAAATATTAACAATGAATTGACGCATTAAAATTGACTATTTATCGATAAACATGATACAGTAGGTGATTAGTAAAGTCTAGTAGGCTAGAACGTGAAAAAATATACGAAGTCAATTACGTGAAACCGGAAGTTAAAAAAGCTGTATCATATCTGTCATTCTGCAGCATTTTCTTTCACCGAAGACGACATACATACTTCATAAGGCACTTGTCAATTGTAATAAAATTCACGGAAAGATATAAATGTCTTTAAATTAGTGCTAAAATATTTTATTTACGTAGCACTCTGTGACCAACGGTTCCAAAACTGCTGCCATGAGATAGTCTCGATCATGAGGTAAGCCTACCGACTAATTGACACTACTTCACGGTATTTTATTAACCACGACACTCTATAAACAGTCTCAAAAGGATACAAAGATACTAATAAATGTGCATACTTTGATGAAGATAGACAAAATTATAAAAGTATTTATCACGATGCCATTTGCCGATGGGGTCAAAGACA